GTCCATGACCACCGCTTCCGCTCCCGCCTTGACCAGGTGGTCCGCCTTGCCCACCACCTCCCCCAGGAGGAGGAGGAGGGGGCGGTCCAGCTTGAGCGCGTTCATGCCGAATATTGCAGCGCGCGCATCGCTCAAGGCCGTCATCTCCAAAGTAACTGTGATTCTCACAGACGTGGGTCCCACAATCCGTGCAGAAATACATGGAGACCTCCTGAGCATTCTTGCGACATGCCCAGCACTTCATTTTCAAAAACTGACAATTGCTACAGTCACCATCATCGCCCCGGCAAAGCCTGCAAAACTCACGATTGCAAGTAACACACGAAAATTCAGCGTCCGGGTGCCTACGGTCGTTGGGGTCATCGAGGGCACAAATCTTTGGCGCACCTGGGCCACCGGCACCGGGAGCGCCTCTTGTGGCCGGTGCCGAGGCCTGTCCACGATCAGATGGAGCTCCAGGGGTCCTCCACCTCTCGCCGGGACTCGGGACGTCGGCGCTAGCTCTGCTCCCAGGAGTCCTCCAGTCATCGCCGGGACTCTGGATATCGGCATGGGCCCTAATATCCCTATTATCTCCTGGATGACGCTCTGGGTTCGGAGAGACGTCCCCGCTATCGCGGATCGGTCTATCCAGGTTCGGAGAGATGCTCCCGCTATCGCGGATTGGCCATCCCTCGCACGCCCTGGCGGTGAATGCGACCTGTCAGGCAATCCCCGAGCCCTCCTGCTCCTGCTGTCACCCCTCTCCCTATCGGGATAAATGGGATGCCTGCCTGCACGAGAAGGATCGACCCTACCGGGCACATCCGGCAAAGTGTGATCGACCAAATCGACACCTCCGCCCGGCCTCACCGGAAGGCCAGTACCCCGGCCATTACCTTCTCCGGGATTCTGTGTCCTTGCCCCGCGAAAGCGTCGTATCCGACGTTCCGTCTCTCTCTAGGCTGTGGGAGATTCGCCTGATTGTCCTGGGCACCCTGAATAATGACAGCAGCTTCATCAACATGACCTTCGATTTCATAGAGCTGAGCCATGATCCTGTTGTTCATTCCATTAAGAGTACGCATGTTACTCTCAACAGTGCTGATCCTCCGCATAGCGCCCTCAAGCGTACCCCTGAATGAGTCAATCTCACGCCTAACGGCAGACCGTGCTTGATCACTATTCGCAGGGAGACTGCGGATCTGTCTTCTGATGTCATCAAGAACTTGATTCAGAATTCCCGAACTCGCCTCGTACTGCTCAACACGGGATTTCAAGGTTTCAAACCTTGCAAGGATATCGTCATGGTCCCCATGGTGGCGTTGAGCTCCACGGGATAGATCCTGGATCTTTCGATTGACTTCGTCAATTGCTTCATGCCAGTCCTGCGGGGATACGGGCCCTGATGATCTATCGATCGCCTGTGAACCCCTTCCACTTTGCAGCCTCGACATCCGATTAGCGAGAAGGGTTTGCTCTTCATTGATGCCACCAATAGATTCGGAGGCCCACTTAGCAAACTTCTCGTGTTCGAGGAGAGCCTTCTCGAGCTTCAGGTTTAACTCCCTGAAATTCGCGTTCACCACACTGCTACTGGCCCTATCGGACGGTTGCGCGACAGGATTCAAATTCCATTCACCTGCCGGCGTCCGCATCCCGACGGTCTTCTCTACCGAGAACATCCGTTTCTCGAGCTTTTCCAAGTCCTTAAGGATCTCATCCTCGGAAGCAGCATGGCTCCTGTGGACGGCCTCACGATTCTCTTGAATCACCTGACGAAGCCGATCAGTCGCGGCCTCATTGTCCTTAACAGATTCGTGAACCTCGTGGGAAAGTAGATTAATCCTCTGCTCCACGACTTCAGCCTGTTCATCGATGGCTTGCCTCACAATGGCTTTGCTGTCGGGAATAACTTCCCTTGCAAACCGCTGAACTATCATTCGCATCCTCCCGGCATCAGATTGAGTCGCAACCTCAGCTGCCAGGCGATCGACCTTGTCCTTCGTCTGTTGACTCTCGTCGCTCCATTCCCTTCGCATGGAACTCACTTGACCATTCAGTAACCTGATTTGGTCAGCAAAAATATGGAACGCCTTCGCGACTGAGCCAGAAACCTCACCCCTCTCGAGCATCTCCTGGATGTGCAAATCAAACACCTCCTTTGCCCTAGCGTCACCTGATTCGCCGGAAGACTGGGATCTGAGGGCGGGAGGAGTCGATATCTCGATCCTCTCAGGAGCCCCACTAGCCCCGGCATGTCTTCTGGGGTCATCTACGGGACAATCATCAATCCTGGATGGCCTACTCGGGGTAGATCCCCTTCTCCGGCTATCGCCAGATCGGGGATCAATGTTGGATGCACGTGACTCGGGGGTGGAGTGAATGTGAACATCAGCAGGATCGGGCATCTCCTCATCCTGCAGAGTCAAGCCCATTGGTGAGGGGCTAGCCCTCCTCGCCTTCGACCTATCGGTCTCAATGGCGAGAGGTGACGGCCTCTTCGCAGAAACACTACGTTCCCTGGCGGTCGAGCCCCATTGAGGTGTGAACTCGTTGCTAGACCTAGCGTTTCAAGGTCACTGGTATCTCGCCCTAACGGGCTAGCGATCGACGGACGATCCTCGATTCCGAGTGCATCGGCAAGCCGACCATCTCTGGCACCTGTCCTAACGACATCGGCAGCCCGCTCAGTGATCCTCGGCGAACCAGTAACCCGGTTCGAGTTCACGTCTCTCTGATTCAACGGACCTCCAAAGGTAATGTTGGGAAAAGGGGGAACATTCGGGGTATCACCAATCGCCGGGGGACCTATCGGTCCCTCACGGTCATGGATGGCCTCCAATCCCCGAAGAACTTCCCGACTATCCCTGGCCCTCTCTCTCTCGCTTCGGGCGTCCCTGTCAACACGAAGGTCCCTGGCGGCTCCACGAGAGAGGCTCCTGGGCCTCGCAGCATCACGGATCCTAGCACTTCGTCGTGATTGGTCCTCCTCCTCATCACGGCGATCCGCAAATGCGGCATACTCGTCATCATCACCGACCTCAAACTTGGCAGCGGCAGGGCTAGTCCTTGCAGCCGCACGGTTGCCTGCATTTCGGCGCGAATGGCCCTCCTCCTCATCCGCAAAATTGTAATCTTCGTCATCATAAGACTCAGATTTGGCAGTAATAGGGTTGGGCCTACCGGCATCAGATCCCTGCTTTGAGCTACTGCCCCATCCTGCGGTCGATTTCAACAGATCATCGTATCCGAAGTCTGAGAACTTCCGCTCCTCGTGCTCATCAAACTGACCTGGATTCTGAGAACCAGTGGATCGGCCCGGGATACCTCCCGGAGCCAGAACCATAGTCCCTGGTCCCTGCGGCCTATTCTCAAACTCATCCGAGACCTGCGACTCACCTGGAACAAGAGATCTTGGAGGTCGAGCCGGCATGGCCTCCGGGTCATCCGAATGAGGGCGGGCCATGTCCATCGCCATGCTGATGAAGTCAAAATGTCCACGCCTGTGACCTGATTCAGAGCCACTCCTATCGGAGTAAACCCTTCGTGTCTGCTCGTCATCAGTGGCCTGGCGGAAAATACGATCGTCTCCATCGTCGGCGTACCTGCCACGGCTCCTGGGTGTATCCCTACCGGGATCTTCACCCCTGCGGTCCTGACCTGTCGAACCTGCTTCGAAATCCTCGTAGTCATAGTCCGGTAGGTCCTCACCTGAGCGGAGGCCACCTAGGATGGCCTCCTCATCCACGACGCTCCTTCGAGATCGTGGGGTCGACATAGAGCTTGTAGTTGATGGTCTCAAGCGCGTAGGAAAGTCCTACGGCTGATAACCTGTGATTCGGGCACGAGCCTGTGCCCAGGCAATGGGTAAGTTGGGGTAAACAAGCCACAAAAGAAAGGTTCCCCAAAAGCAAACCAATCCCCGGTCCCAAAGATCAGGGTTTCCCACACACCAGAGAACAACAACCAAAAGGGAAACAAACCAAACAAGAAAAGGGTTAACCCGCAACCTTGGTCGACAACAGGCCGCACGACTGGTCCCTACCAACCTGGCGGCGGCCCGAGGTCTCTTTCTCCCCCGAGATGCCGTCGGTCGACGCAGGGGTTCGGCGACGCCCATTCGAGGCGCGACGGAACCCAAAACTTGAGCCAAAACACCACAGGTCGGTCACTAACGCGACGTCCCTGATGATGATATTAACCATGGCTAATCACATATTTAACATTCCGAGATAGTCACATCGTACCTTAGCACAGTAGAAGGGCATGTCATGTGAGTCACTGAAATAGCAACACTCAGGCTTTCCAAAACAGACAAGACAAGGAAGTGCCAAGTTGCAAAACATGATTGAAGCTGACTGATTAAAAACAAGAGTACAAGAAACTCAATGATCGTTAGCGATTGGAACAATAATGATGACAATCAATGGGAAACGAACTGAAAAGGGGGAGTGCGCAAACGGGACAAAGGTGTGCACAAACCAGAACCAAGAGGGGACAAATTCGAACAGGCAAACCACAACAGGAGGTTCGCAAACCGGAACAGGGGGTGACGGAAAAAGATGGGCGCGCAACATGGTCCGAAACAAAAATTGCAAAGCAGGCATCTTTTCGTTTGATGCAAAGAACCTGGTGTTTATTCCCATAGTGGACATCGGGGAAATATGATTGATCCCCCTGGAATTTTGTGAGTCCCCTAAAGTCTCTCCCGCCTTGACGAAAACCTCTTGATTATCTTGACCAAACCTCGTATGGATTCTTATGCGACTTCGAAGGCCAAAATACTGTCCTCCCGGTTTCCAATTGAACCAAGCAACTAGTTTCCCTTTAAACCCAAGCCCAACAGGGGCCTCCCAAAAACAAGCGCACAACAACGAGTCTGGCTCAGTTCAAGGAGGTTTCCCTCTAAAACAAAACAAAAAAGCCCAAAACCCGCCCCGCCCAAAAGCCGAAACCGACCAAAAGCCGAAACCGACCAAAAGCCGAAACCGACCAAAAGCCGAAACCGATCCCCGCGGTCCTGCCAGGCCTGGCCTTGCCAGTGCTGCTGCAGCGCCAGCAGGGACGAGGCCGCGGCCCCGAGGATCGGCTTCTGAACCCACCCGGGGGATGGGAGGGGAGGGGGGGTGGGGGGGCAAAAAGAAAAAAAAATGGGGGGGGGGGGGGGGGGTAAACCAAAAAAAACGTGGATAGGGGGGGGGCAAAAAAAACTTTGGGGGGAGGGGGCGGGGGGGGGGTACAAACACAGGTCCCCCAAAAAAAGCAAAAAAACTCGCGGGGGGGGGGGGGGGGGGAACCAAAAAAAAAACGGGGGATGGGGCGGGGAACCCCAAAAGGTTCTTCGGCCTTTAAGTTTTTGTTGGGGGTATGGCCCTGACGGTGCCGCTTTGGTTCAGGGAAACCCCAAAGGAACGGTTTAGGGAGGTTGCCCCCAAACGAAACCCGAAGTGGAAACCAGGTTTTCTCAAGCCCGAGCACTCGATTCCTCAGCTTCCGGCCGGCGGTTTCTTGAAAACTGCCAGAGACTGCTGGAACATCTGCCGTGTGGTTCCGTGCCTAACGAGGCACGGCAAAGTGGACAAGGAAACAGGGGCATTCTGTGGGGGTGGGTGGCCGGATGGGCTGGGTGAGTTCGTGTGGGTTTTGGGGGTGTGCCAAGCACAACCCCCCATTTGGAGGAGCTTTTTTCGCGAAGAACGAATCCCACAGGCAGCAGCCAGGCCGATCTTGGGCTCCAAACAATCCGCAGTCGCCCAAGATGCCGGGAAGCTTCTGCAAGATCTGTCCCAGCTCAGCCTTGCTTGTCAAACATTGGCTCTCATACCTGGGCTGCCCTCAGATCTGCGCAAAGTTTAACCGTGGGTCGCATAGAAACCCGTGGGCATCGCACAAGGATGCTCTGTTTCTGGGCTGTCCGTTTTCAGATCCCCTGCTAAAAGTGAATAACTCTTAGCAGGTTAAATGGAAACCCAACCACTAAACACTAAAAGGCTAAAAAGCTAAGGAACCGGATGGCTGGGAGCCAAGATACCAGACTCACCGCTGAACAACCCTGGTCGACCTGAGGCGCCGGCCAGCTTCTGCACTTCTTGATGAGTAACTTGCTCGTCCGGGGTGGAGAAACCTTGCCATGTCAAATGTGCGCAATTCTGAGAACCGGTCATCGCAACCGAATACTGACTGTTAGGGACTCTGAGCGCAGGGATCCTTTTGCTTTTTTTTTGTTTTTCTTGAGAGCACTACTTCTGCAAGTGTTAACAGTCATGAAATTGAGAGGAGTATGGAAAGTACAAATGAATACAAGCAGGCAAAGTGGTTGAAGCTGGAGATGGAACTTGGAGTTGAGGCAAGATGTACCATCTCAAACAGTGGAAACCAAGACCATAAAATTCACATGTAGCGCGAACCCACAAAACAAAAACGAGAGTTGCCCTTGCATTCAGCCGGAATGTTGGTAGGACGCATGAGAGGCGCAAACAGCTTTAAACCATAACATGAGAACGAAAGTGGACAATGCCAAGGGGCATCCAAGCGCAAAACAGCAAAAAGTGTGAATTGTAAAATTGGTAAATCAAGAAACTTATGGGGAAGATGCATAATCTGGAGAATTGGGAAATCACCTAAAATCTCTCACGAGACCCTCACTCAAGCTAACACGTGGCGCGAAATCCACAACAATGACAAAATAACACCTGAGTTCCTCCTGGAAAAAAATGTCAGGCACACAAGGAGTGAAAAGCGCTTGGGTGTGGGGCGGAAGCTTGAAAATGTCAAGAGGGGTCCAACGACAACAGAGCTGAAAGCCGGTACATTTGGAGGGAACGCACATCATATCGAGGACTTCGGCCAAACTGTTGGTAGTATGAAAGGTGCAAGTTTTAAATGGAACTCAAGCAAAACAAGCGGGGTTGAGGATAAAAGTGTAACATGTCAACGGGCATCCAACAACAGCAGTTTTAAAGGTCAATAAATTTAGAGGGAAGCTGTAGCATCGCAAGAAATTGGAGACCGCAAAAAAGCCTACGAGACCCTCAAGCGGGAACCCCCACAAATACATAGTTCGCAAGGATGCCCCTTGTATTGGGCCAAACTGCTGGCAGGATTTGTGAGAATCAAAAAATGAGCTTGAAGCATGGGGATGAAACTTAACAAGGGGAATGTTCATCGAACGACACTGCCAAAATTGCAACATGTTACCATGGTGAAAGCCGAGAAAATCAGAGGGAAACAGGCACTGGGACATCACCAAAAGCACTCCGGAGCATCTGGGACACCATCGAAACACCAATGAAACACCGCGGCGCCATCCAAAATGCAAGCGGAACAGGGACAAAACCACAAAAACGACTGGGACACCAGGGACACTGCCTAACTGGATTATGACGACAAGACACCGCCAGCACCAAAGCACCACCGAGACATACAGGGACGCCAAAATACTATCAAAAACACCACCGACACACCTACTCGAGGTAGCCACCAAAGGTCTACCCTACCTTTCGTGAAAAGCACCAAAGCAGAAAATGCGGCGTGTGCCGAGAGTGCAATGCGAGTTCAGGGTGCTATTGGTTTCGCTGCGCCCTTTATGGATGCCCGGAGCCAAGATGTCCGTCGCTCAAGGTTGTGCATGGCTCCCATCTTGCCGTGGCTCTGAATCTGGATTTGAGGGGCACGTGTGGAACTGCGCATTCGGGAAGTACGCCTATCTGTGACATCGAGTTGAATTCGTGGAAGCGCATGTATACACCATGGCATGTGGAACGACCCATGTGACACGCCATTAAACCCAGGCCGTTTCTTTGAATTGCAATCCCCCTGGCTTTGCCTAGAAACGCCCATGGCTCGGCTTTCCGAGCCCCAGGCTCCAAAGTCTCGCGGAAGGGGACGCGCCGCTTCCCGCCCGGAGCACATCGCCGACGGAGCTCCAGACGGCCTCAAGGCCGGTTGCCGAGCTCAGGTGGTTTCCAAGGGATGCCTATTTTTTCGGCCCCCCAAAATGGTTGCTTCGGTGCTCCTGTTGGTTTGCCTTGTTGTTTATGCCACCAACAAAAGGGATAGCGTGAAACAAAGCCGCGACCAATCAGCTCCGAAGCAGTTTCCAGTTATCTGGATAGGTGTTTGACTAGAAAAACACAAACTATGGGGATGGGGGTTGCCCCTTCTCTTCAACCATCCTGCTTTCCAAAAGCCGGTCAGTCTCCGGTTCTTCGTTTGCGAAGGATCCACCTGGAGTTCTTGACGCGTCGTTCAAACGAAGCGCCTGCAGTTGGAGCACCTCCTGCTGGATGCACTTGTTGAAGGACAAGGGCCGCTCCCAGAGGAAAAGATCCTTGGTGCGGCCGCGGTCTCGCTTGGTGCTTCGAGCCAAACTTTCAAACTTTCATGGTCCGACATGAAAGGCAGGCATGTTCCAAAAACATATCACAGGACAACCCCCCCCCCCGCCACGGTCAATACGGCTTGTGGCCCCAACTGACACGGGAGTTCAGCCAACAAACCCAATTCGTCGATGATTGGTCAGCATGCCCCAAGCAACTTTGCCGTGGATGACAGTAAATGTGTGTGTGTGGTATTTATTGGTTCTGTGTTTGTGTTTGTGTTTCGTGTGTTTCTGTGTGCTTCTGTGTGTTTCTGTGTGCAAACCCTGCAGGAGGGGATCAGGGCAGAAAAATGTCACCAGGCCAGCCAAAGTTGTAGAGGTTACCCCATTCCCTGTTTCTGTGTTCCTGTGTCTTCTGTGTTCCTGTGTCTTCTGTGTTTCTGTGATTCTGTGTTTCTGTGATTCTGTATTTCTGTGTTTCTGTTTCTTCTGTGTTTCTGTGATTCTGTGTTTCTGTGTTTGCGTGTTTGAGTGCTTGCGTGGTTGTGTGTTCATGTGTTTGTGTGTGTTTGTGTGTTTGTGCGTTTATGTGATTCTGTGCTTATGTGTTTGTGTGTTTCTGTGTTTGTGTGTCTATATGTTTATGTGCTGTTGCATTTGCGTGGTTGCGTGTTTGTGTGTTTGTGTGTTTGTGTGACAAAACCAAACGAATACCCTCCGAAATCGCCTACCCTAGCGGCCGATTCGCAAAGGATCGCCGTGGCCTGAGCCTCCGGCGTGGCCGTCTGTTCCGTGGCCAAAAAAGCTGAGCAGCAGGGCGGAAGTGACCTCGCATCCCATCCGATCGTGAGACATTTGGGGTGAAAACCTGTGCTTTTTTGGTGCTAAATGTTGGCTTTGTTTTTGGTGCTTAATTTTTGGTGACCTCCCCTTGTGGTTTCATTTTAGCCCATAGCCATTTTGCCAACCCATGGAATCCCCCTGGCAGGGACGACAGCCAACCGGGGCCCGTCTCCTGTAGAAATTCCTGGCGCGTTTGCCTTGCCGGTTGGGACTCCTGCCTCCAAAATCTCATCTGAAGATGTCGGACTCTTTGATCCAACAGGCACAGGGTCCTGACATGCGTCACGAGCGCAAGACATGGATCAGGCTGGACACACCTTCAGAAGCCTCAATTCTGGGAAGAAAATGGCACGCAGTCCATGTCTAGAAACCAGCTGACAAGCGGCAGCCTGCAACCGCCTAGGTGTACCTTTCCATTTGGTTTTTAGAGGAACTGGGAGTTGTTTGGTCCCGCCAATCAGAACCTGCGCTTGGCTTTTTTTGTGATGCACTTGCCTGCAAAGAATGGGTCTAAAACAAGCGGGAAAAAATGATTGGGATCCCTCCCCCGCCCACCACGGCACCTGAGTAAGGTTTGACCATGTTCCGCGTACGCAGTGGCAACCCAGACCACAAACCCGTCCTACTAATCGGGGTGTTACCCACAAGAGGGGAGGATGCCCGCTAAAAGGGCACCCCCCCCCTGTCAACCAACCAGGGGGTTTATGAATCTGGGGTCAACATTAAGGAAACCCCTAGAAAACTACAAGGGATGGAACAACAAGGGGTCGTCCCCTCATTCCCCTTGTTTGATGGTTGATTTTACAGCTATTCGTCCGGGGTTCCCATTGGAACACTGGCATCGACTCGCGAGGGCTGGCCTTTGGCTCCTGCTGCTTTGCAGGTGAGGCCTCGCTTAAGGCCTCGCGGGCTGCAACAACAAAAAACGACGCCTCTTTATTTGGTTGTCTCTCCAAATCGGGGTACCCCCGAAAATGGTTGGTGTCCCTTTGGTTTCCCCTTCAAACCAATCGCGATCTCAAAGGGGCTCCCCAAACAAACGCACACCCATTTGGCCGTGGGTCAAAACTACGTACGCAAAATGGAACCCTGGCAAACGGAAACATGGACTCAAACCTGCGGTCCCCTGGAGGTCTAACTTTGACCCACAGCCATTTGACGTTTGTTTTTCTCTCTCTCTCTCTCTCTGACCTTTCTGGATCACACGTTGCTCTCACCCCTTTTTGGCACCACGCTTGCCCCGCCTGCCGCCAAACCTGCCCCAAGTCCCGACCGAAAGACGCGTAGTCCTGGCTTCGACGAGTCCGCCGCCGGTTTCGGTTGGGGGGGATGGAACTTCAGGCAGTTCCCAAAAAACTGTGGCTGTCCGTGTTCTGATCCCCTGCTACAAGTGCTTGACTTGTGGGTTGAATTCAGAGACTCAGACCAACTAAAGCCCCAAGTTGAACCGGACGAATCTCCGGCTTCGCCTCGCCGAGCCAGGCAAATGCCCATGAAACATGGGGGCCTGGAGGGGAGGTCGGTGAGGCGGTTCCCCCCCCCCCTTCGGAAGGGTTTCCGATCCCCCGACGCCTGCAGCTCAAAGTCCTTGGACGCGGTGACCTGGCAGGTCAAAAATGTGTACCCCAAATGGGAACCCTGGTAAATGGAAAGACATGGACTCAGACCTGTGGCCCCATGGCGGCGGTTTTGGCGCATCGCCGCAGCGCTCGCGGCGTCCGAGGCCCCGGCCAGGTCGTCGTGGATGTCGGCTTTCTGCAGCATCAGCCGCCCTTCGCGCAGCTGCCTCGCGAAACACGCTTGGACGGCAAGAGAAGAGAGAAACGCGCAGCTCGTCGGACAGTCGCAAAAATGAAAGAAAAGAAGAAGAAGAAAAAATAAAACGTCTGACACAAAGCACTTTTGAACCCCTGGTTCTTGTAGAGGGTAAATGGGAAACTACCCTCAACCACCCAACCACCAATCTAAACCGCCAATCAGTGGGAGGCTGATTCACTGGACAGGAATCCAACCAGCTCACCAGCATCGATAAGGCTATCCATCGGGGGCTGGGCAGCTGCAGCAGCGCGTCACTCGCTCGCCTGGGTTGAAGGCGATGTCCAAAACAGTGGTTGTTTAAGATTGGTTTAAGGTTGGTTTTCCCTCTTGCATGGAACACACACACACACACACACCTGCGCGCGCGCACCCCTGAATTCTGGCTTCTTTGTTCGCAGGCCCAGCGGCCCAGCTATGCGCCCTAAGGCTGTTGCCGCAGGCTGAGCAGAACGTCGTGAGGCAAGCAAGCGGCAGCCACGCTGCCCTGACCAAAGAAAGCCATCCGAAAGCCCTCTGGCAAGAAACATTTGTTGTGTAAAAACTGCACAACCCTTAGACAAGCTCCTTCTTTGTTGTTTCCCCAACCTCCCCTTGCAGGTGGCATCCAACTCGTCCTGCAACTCTGATTTGTTCTATTCGCCACTCTCGGGCCCTTTCCCTGTTGAATTCGCCTCCTTTGGCTGGCAGCATCCAACATCTTCCCCCCCCCCTCCCCAGGCCTCCAGCTCGATCAGAGCTTGCAAGCTACCCACCTAAACCGGAGGAAACTCCGCGGGAACTCAGAGGCTGACGTTGTAAAGGGGAACAGGAACCAACAGGGGGAATGAGGGAATGACCCCCTTGTTGCTACATCCCTTGTAGTTTTCTAACGATTTCCTCTTTGTTGACCAGTCCTTCACTTTTGGAGGGCCCCATCAACAAAGCGGGTGAATGAATCCGGGGTCAACATCATGCAACCCAACTCGGGGATCGCAACAACCCCTTTCAAATATCTCAAAGACTTCTCACTTTGCTGCGGAGACCTCTCTCTCTCTCTCTCGGCTCCCTGCAAGACTCGCTATCGTCTTGGAATCCATTTGCCTCAAGTTGCGTGCCACACCAACGCCTCCGTTCTGTCCCCCTTGAGGCCCCAGCGCCCCGCTCGCCTGGCGGACAGCTTGAAAGCCGCTTGCATTCCCAAGCCGAATTCCCCTTCAAGGTCTGTCAAAAAATGACCCCAAAGTTGATGTGTTCCTGATTTCCCAAGATGCAAAGGGCCCGCACACACACACACACACAGAGACAGACACACAGACAGACAGAGACACAGACACAGACACAGACACAGACACAGACACAGACACAGACACAGACACAGGCACAGACACAGACACAGACACAGACACAGACACAGACACAGACACAGACACAGACACAGACACAGACACAGACACAGACACAGACACAGACACAGACACAGACACAGACACAGACACAGACACAGACACAGACACAGACACAGACACAGACACAGACACAGACACAGACACAGACACAGACACAGACACAGACACAGACAGACAGACACAGACAGACAGACACAGACAGACAGACACAGACAGACAGACAGACAGACAGACAGACAGACAGACAGACAGACAGACAGACAGACAGACAGACAGAGACAGAGACAGAGACAGACAGAGACACAGACACAGACACAGACACAGACACAGACACAGACACAGACACAGACACAGACAGAGACACAGACACAGACAGACACAGACACAGACACAGACACAGACACAGACACAGACACAGACAGACAGACACAGACACAGACAGACAGACACAGACACAGACACAGACACAGACACAGACACAGACACAGACACAGACACAGACACAGACACAGACACAGACACAGACACAGACACAGACACAGACACAGACACAGACACGACACGGACACGGACACGGACACGGACACGGACACGGACACGGACACGGACACGGACACAGACACAGACACAGACACAGACACAGACACAGACACAGACACAGACACAGACACAGACACAGACACACACATTTTCGATATTCCCCTTGATCTCCACGAGACACTTGGGCTCGACACGGGGCCTCATCCAAATGCAATGCCCCATGCAACCTGGGCGAAATCTATCAGCTGCACTACAGTCTCAGAATGGGCACCGAGTTTTGAGAGGTTTTAAGTAGACACCCAAATCAAACCAACTGGATTGGGAGAGGCACCCAACTCGTGTTGAGTCGCACGCCTAAACCCAATCCGCCAATCCCCTTCATGCCGACGGGAAAAGACTCGTGTCGAAGCTGGGAAGCCGACAGGGACACAAAGCGGGCAGATGCATTGAAGAGAATGCCGCCTCCACTTTCAGTGCCTGCGGAAATCTCCGAAAGACATGCGATCCCAGTCCGGTCCAGTGCAACCAGCCTGACATGAGGCATTCTGCATCGCTACCATCCTGGCACTCTCGACGTTGGGGGCAACCCCTAAATGAGTTCAGACAACGGAGTCCAGCATGCCACGCACATGCTTCTCCTTTCCTAGCTGGAGCCCATCTGGGCGGCTCAAAATTGAAGAGCTGGGGCACGCCGCAGGTTTCAGCTTTTGCTTCCATTTACCATCCATTGATTTCAGCCACAGCCATGTGGCCGCACCGGACAAAAAGAAGAAGAAAGACTTCGAGTGCTCCCACTTTCTCAGGGCTTCCACTTCGCCGCGTCTGAGGCTTGCACCACGGCCGTTGACCCGAAGCCGTCGATGGCACCTAACGCCTCGGCGCAGGCGGTGAAGCTGCCAAGTGGTGGGGAACCTTTGGTGGACACCAGGGGCATCTTATGTGAGGTGTGTCTTCTTTTGGGGGAATTTCAGGCATGGTGGTAATTCCTTCTGAAATTCTCTCCTGAAGCAGTTGCCGCAAAAAATGAGGTACCCGGTACCCTCAAAAGTCACAGCATGTCCACACTTGAGGATGTTCAGAAGGGCACTGCCACGACATCTACCAATGTAAGCCCCGGACTACCAGTCGGCCAATTGCCTCGAGCAAGCAAAATGGCCGAGATATGTCTTGCAACTTTTGATCCTAGCAACTGGCAATTCAATAGCTGTGCACTGCTTCCTGCTTGCGTTCTCGGCCAAAAACGCTTGGAACTAGTCATATTTCTAAGGGGAGTCAATGGCCTAACGGGTGTGCCACCTAAGTAGCGTTCCATGGCGTGTCAGGCGTTTCCACCGCACCTCAGGCTCAGCATCTGCATCAGAAGGCAGTTTGCCACCTGGGGAAAAGCGGCCGAAACCGAGACCAACTCGAAGCCAGCACCATGCCTGCGACGTGTCTGGGCACGAAAGCTTGGAAAGTCAGAAGGATAAGAACCACCTGCATCAGGTCAGTGCTCCGATCTCTGCAAGGCTGGCAAAAAAGAAAAAAACTGAGGCCCTTGGGCCTAAGGCGATTCGATCACTGGAGCGAAGCGACTGAGAGACAAGTTTTTCCAAGTACTTGACGCATGTGTTTGAGTTGTTTGGAGTTGTTGAGCCGTTGAGTTCATAGCGTGTTGAGTTGTTTGGAGTTGTTGAGTTCAGAGCCTGTGTTTGAGTGCACGCTGCTTCTCGCGGAGCGAGGGCAGTTTTTTGGCCAACAGTAGGGTGTCGAAGTGCGACTTTGCGGCGTGCATCCGGCTTTTTCGATTTGTCGCGAATATCATAAAGAAAAAGACACGATTCTATAGCTCAGTGGCAGCACAGTTGCACTTGAAATCAATGGTTCGCAGGCCCAGCGTGTTTGGCTGCGCAAGGCATGGGCTTTTGCGCTAAGCTCTAAATCGACTCGGCTGTTTTGCGCTCTGCTTGCCTCGGGCTGTCTTGGGTTTTGTTGCTGGAAGGCTGCTGCGTGTCTGGGGATTCGCCTTGTGTCTCTGTTTCGGGGGGGTTGTCTGCAAGCTCTCAGCTTTTGGGTTTCAGCACCACCCGGTGTGTTGGTCTGAGGGCCATGGGCTTTGCGGTTTTGCAGGAAGCAAGTCATTTGAAGGGGGGGTTGCGAGGCGCATGGCTTGAGAGGTGTTGTCCGCATCAACAATTCTCGAGCTGTTTGGCAGAAGGAGCGGCCGCTGAAATACGCGTGATCCTGTGACTGGTTGCTTTTGTGCTGCTCCTCAGCCAAGAGCGTCCGCTAGCATTACAATGAACCGGCCCAAAAGCAAAAGCGAGAAGCCCCTCGAAGAAGGACCACCCGATCTATGGATATTCTGCTTGTTTTGGGTAAGCTGCTCCTCCAAGAGCTCAATCCAAGGCCTCTCTTGGGCGCGCCCTCCACCCCATCGCATGCTCCCGCCGAGTGATAGTGCGGCGCTTTGGCCCGGCCAACGTCGTTTTAAAAGTGTCACCCTTGAACGTGCTCAAAACAGTGACCAATACCAAGAGATATTCGCTTTGATCCTGTCTCCCCGG